AAGAAAGACACGTAAGAAAGATTGCCTAAGGAGTACTGATAGCTACACAGACACAGGTCAATAAAATCGAGAGACAGTGTAGGTCAGAAGGTCAACAACAGACGTGATCTAAACTAACAGTTACAATGATAAAATCATAAGTCAAAATAAGCGAAAGGGAGAAGTGCAAGAGGGAAAACAGATATACATACCAACTATCAGGTGAGAGAGAGACACAGGGCTGGGAAGAAGTGAAAAAAGACAGGTAAGAAAGATTCCCTAAAGAATACTGATAGCTAAACAGAGACAGGCCAAAAAAATCAAGAAACAGTATAAGTCAGAAGGTAAACACCAAACGTAATCTAGACCAACAGTTTCAATGATAAAATCATAGGTCAAAATAAGCGATCAAACTAGAGTCACTTCTGTGATCTCCGATTCCAGCCTCTCCCTTTTGTTTTTCGTTGCAGCATAGGGGTGGGGCTTTGTCTCCTGTTTCACACTGTTGCCTTAAAAGCTGAGGTAAAGTTTGTTGCTAGGTGGGCGGGGCAATGGAAGTCTGCCTGGAGAATGGCAAGGCAGTTTAAGCAGGTCTGTTTTTCTCCGCTTGTCTGGGTCCTCTGGGTTGGGGTCTCACGCTGTGTGCCTCAGCCAGGGTGGACCCGGAGTTCCAGAGCTCCAAAGTTCCAAAGGGCAGGCTCTAGACAGCGAGAGTGGCACTGGGACCCAACAGAGGACTTCAGCCAGAAATGGAACCAGCGTCTCTGAGGGGCGGGTGCCCAGAGCCTCCCTGTGTGACCGGCGGCTTGATGCCGGGTGCCCGGGCTGGAGACAATGCAGCCGGGGAGGGATCTGGAGGGGGCTGGGACCGGAGACTTCCACACACGAGTAGAACGGCAGCAGTGGGGCGGGGGCGCAATATCTGGCCTTGCGTGGGACTGAAGTTCCCGGGCCTGCCCCCAGCGCGGTTGGTGGTGGGCTGGGGGATGGGGGTAGCGAAGCGATAGCCTTTTTGGGAACTCACGTTCAGAGAATCTCACCAGTTCACCTATGCCGTCGCCATCTTGCCCCGTCTCTCAGTACTTGGCATTCTAAAGAGCAAAACCAACCGCAGGTCCAGCTGCCTCCGTCCACATCCCCATCCCAAGAGTTCCTGAGAGTGTGTGGAAGTGGCCCTGCCATAATCTGTCCTCCTACTTCCCACTGTCTGGCCGCCCAGTAGAAGACAGGTGGAGGTGAGGGAGAGGGAGGATTTGATGGAGAGCAGCATCCAGGCTGAGGGATACCCTTTTCCTCAACAAACATCAAGTGGTGACTCTGGAAGAGAGAGTTATTTATGGGGGATGGCAGTGCCTTTGAGAGCAGGAGATGGGCAGCTCATTCCAGCTGGGTTGCAGAATACAGGAGGAGGCACAGTGCAGACGGCCTGGGAAGAAGACAGTGGCAGGCCCAGCTCAGCCCCCTGAGAGAGTTTGGAGGACAGGCCCTGAGGCTCCTCATGAAGGATGGAGGTCAGAGGGCAGCTGGAGCTGGATCTCTGCCCAGGCTTTCCAGACAGCCAAGGGACACAGAAGGAGATGCCATATACAAAGAGGACGAAGGTGTGCCAACCATAGTTGGGCTGAAAAGAGAGACTTGGCTGCCACATTTTGAGGGGTCCTCCGTGATTAAGAAGACTGGGGTGAAGCTGAACTCTGACTCCAGGGCACCACAGCCAGGGGTGGATCCAAACGCTGTGGGGACCTGAAGCTTGTCCAATTTTAAAGACTTCTTTAAGAAAAAGATCACAAAATTAGGGAGGGGGCCTTGGAAGGGGCTTGTGCAGGTAAGACCAAGAAGCTTCAACTTCCTTAGCTTCATGGGGAACCCACCTCTGCACCTGCCCCTTCTGATCAGGGCCAGCTCCTCAGAGACAGCAGAACACTGAAATTTCCCCATTGATAGGTAACCAGTGAAGCCTCTGCTGTGTCCCTAACTTTTCCAGTTAGTGGGCAGGAGTCCTAGGATCAAATTAAGCCCCCACATGTCCCCAGAGTGTGGGGAGGGGCGAAGGAGCAGACATGAGCTTCCCTCTCAAGTTCCTGATAGCCATTGAGAGAAGCAGATATCTCAAGCTGGTGGGAGATTAGAGTTTTCAACTGGACTGGACTTTCGAAGACAGTGGAGAAATGTAGATGTGTTCATGTTCAGATCCCATCAAGTGAAAACTCTCAATAACATCGACTTGGAGCTTAAATTGTGCAGAAAATAATCCAGGTGCCATGAAGCAGGACTGATGGTAACGACCCTTCTTCAGCGCGTTTTTGAGAGGCAGCCCGAGGCCCAGAGTTGGGACTGCTGGATTTGCTTCCTCATCCCAACATTTGCCAGATGGGTAGCCCTACACAAGTCATTTCTCTGCTGAGAGCCTCAGTTGTCCTGTGGGTAAAGGGGTTGTATGAGGATTAGAGGTGTTACATGTGGGTGTGCTCTTGAATGGTGGGGTCAATGTCTCTTGTGAGCAGAGAGGCTAGATGGTTGGATGACACACCCTTCTTTGTGTTCAAAGCCAGAGACTCAGGCTCAAGGGTGGGTGGTGAGACGGAGGGTCCCTGGTGGAGGTGACAAAATGGCTTTAGTTTAGATGGGGAAACCTCCAGATGTGACAAGTCAGCCCACCCCGAAGGAACTGAGGCTTCCCAGACACTACAACTATTGTCCCCAGTTCCTGTACCCTCTGCTCCAGGAACGGAAAGAGCCATCTGTCCCCATCCAACCTCCCTGCCCAAGTCTGGTCAACATCAGCACTGCCCGGAGTTTAATAGATTGCACCACACTCTCACTTGCATCATTTCTTGAAATGCAGGACTTGAATTATTCCTGCAACTTATAAATGACAAGCAAAGATGAGTCCTGACAAGAAAACACACTGTGTTCGTTTTATCGCCCTAGGTCCAAACCTTTCCCCAGGTCAAGTTTCCCATAAACAAAACTGTCATACTATAAAGGAAGGGCACTGGCTGACTCTTGGTGGAATCAGGGCTTGGTAACTGTCTGCTCCTGGTCATTTGCCCTTCATTCTCTTTCTCACTCTCAGGCCAGGGTTCTCCTCTTTCCTTTACTTTTTTATTTTTATTTTTGAGTCAGGATCTCAGTCTGTCACCCAGGCTGGAGTACAGTGGCATGATCATGGCCCATAGCAGTCTCAACTTCCTGGGTTCAGGCAATCCTTCTGCCTCAGCTTCCTGAGTAGCTGGGACTACAGGTGTGTGCCACCAGGCCTAATTTTTAAAAATGTATTATTATTATTTTTTGAGTCAGGGTCTCACTCTGTCGGCCAGGCTGGAGTACAGTGTACCAATTATGGCTCACTGCAGCATCAGCCTACTAGGCTCAGGCGATCCTTCTGCCTCAGCCTCCTAAATAGCTGGAACTATAGGCACATGCCACCGCACCCGCTTAATTTTTGTATTTTTTTGTAGAGATGAGATCTTGCTATGCTGCCCAGGCTGGTCTCAAACTCCTGGACTCAAGTGATCCTCCCACCTTGGCTTCCCAAAGTGCTGAGATTAAAGGTGTGAGCCACTGCACCTGCCTGGTCTTCTTTCCTGTTATACCAGTCTGATTTCCACTGCATCCCATATCCTTTTTGGAGTGTCTGTCAGAATACTTTCGACTGCAAAGAACAGAAAACCCAATTCAATCCAGCTTAAGCAAAGAAAACAATTTGCTGACTCATGTTACTTAAACAGCTGGATTGGGCTTTAGGCGCAGTGAGGTGCAGAGGCTCAAACAGTGGCCATTTGGACTTAGTCTCTCTCATCTGCCAGTTCTGCTCTCTGTCTTTGTGGCGGCAAGATCATGTAATGTCCCATATTCTCAGCAACCACAGATAAAAGAGAACTTCTTCTCATGGCTTCAAGCAACATCTCAGTACTGAGCTGCATTTGCCTACCCCAGCTCACCTGTCTGTCCTTGAAGTGATCCCTGTGGCCAGAGGAATGAAGTAATTGGGCTGGACTGGAAGGGAAGTCGGGGATCCGTGCTACCCAGTCCCATGGGGACTGAGAATGGAACACAGATGGCTGCCCATTATCCAGTAGGATGGATGCTAGGAAGGTAGAACAACCAATGTGTTACAAGTCATCACATCAGGAACATTGGGCCTGGTATGGGAATAGCTGTGTTCCAAGAACATTTATGGACTTGTCACCCATTGGTGGTTTTGGGATGGTCTGTTCTGTTCTAATGCCCTAGTGGCAGGCTCTTAATGGGTCAGAGGTGAAGGGTGGGTTGTTGATCAGGTCCTGCCCAGAGACCAGTGGACCTCAACTTTATCTGGGGGCCCTGTTCCTTCAGTTTTGGACCATGGATTCTGCGGGTCATGGAATCATGGGTCATGGCTATAGACAAGCTCTGCCCTTTTCTTTCTTTCTTTTTTTTTTTTTTTTTTGAGTTGGAGTCTCACTCTGTCACCCAGGTTGGAATGCAGTGGCTGCTCACAGCCACCGCAGCCTTCTCTACTGGGCTCAGGTGATCCTCTCGCCTCAGCCTTCCAAGTAGCTGGAACCACAGGCACAAGTCACTGTGCCCGTCTAATTTTTATTGATTTATTGTAGAGATGAGGTCTTGCCAAGTTGCCCACGCTGGTCTCAGGCAATCCTCTCACCTCGGCCTCCCAAAGTGCTGGGATTATAGGAGTGAGCCACCATGCCCAGCCAGCGCTGCCTTTTTCTTCCTCCTCTCCTGCATACAATCAAGGGATGGAACCATAACATCTTCTCCCAAAGTATCAAAGACCCTGGTCCTTTCCATCAGCCTGAGAGGTCTGAGGCCTCCCTGCCTGGTCCTCCCAGAGTAGACCCCCTGAGTAGAGGAGTTCCTGGGGGCTGCTGGCCTCACCTATCTACCTTGTTCAGGTTATCTCGAGGGTTCAACTCTATCTGAAACCCTCCCCGACAATTCCAGATTTGAGCATTCCAGGGATGGGGGGGGCCTTCAGACTATAACTCCAGGCCAAAAGGAGCACACACTATGAAATGGAAGAAAGCACACTTTTATTTCAGCCCCACCCTCCCGGGACTCAAATACCATGGCACATGGCCTGGTATCTACAGTGAACACAGCCCAACAATTCAGTGTCACAAATCCCTGCCAAGAAGCAGCTCAACCCCACTTCCCCAAAGGGGGAAACCTGGGTTCACTGCTGATAGGGATGGGGAGCAGGGCCCAGACCCTGAGGAGAAGCACTAAGAAAAGGCGCCAGGTGGGCCCCGGTACATGCTGTGGAGTGTTTGCTGTGGGATCAAAGCAGCAGCTATGGGAGGTTCCTGCTTTGGCCATCACTGGTCCCAGCTACAGAGCCAGCCCAAAGGCGAGGACAGTCCCAAGTGTGGGCTCCTGGTGCAGGCCAGCTGGAAGAGGTAGTGTAAACACATCTGAAGATTGGGAATGCCCAATGACCAAGCCAGGCTCTCATGGCTGGGGGTTGCCCAGGTCCCAGGAACAAGAGGGTGGGAAGGTGGGGAGAACTTGAGTCAAGGTTCTAAGATTGGATAACTGACTGGGCCCAGGATAAAAGATTCCAGAGAAACAGAAAACTGCAAGAAGGGCAAGGAGAAACTACAGGGCAGAAAAGGAACACTGGGGACAGAGAGAGATAAGACTAGAGCAGAGAGGAAAAACAGAGAAAGGAAGGGGTAGACAGGCAGAGAGGAAAATGAGGCTTAATCTTTTCCCTTCTCTTCTCCCACTAGCTCTATGAGCTAGGAAGGTAGGGTCCCTCAGTTCTAGCTGGGTAGGATGGGGTTCTCATTTACCATGTTCTTCCCCCCATCACAACTGATCATTGTGATTCAGGCAGCCAGCCTGAGAATGAGGCTGAGTCCAAGATGGGCAGGGATGTGCTCAGCCCTTCCCACTCCACCTCTACCTCAGGCTGGGTTTAGGCCCTGGCTCATCCAAGCTCAACTAAGTGTTCTGCCCAAACCTGCCCAAACTAATCCTTCTGTACCCGATCCTGGACTCTTCCCTGAAGCTCCCGGAATTACACACTATTCACTTCTCCAGGTCCCTTGCAGGCAGGGAGGGAGGGA